GGGGCTCGATCCCAGGACCCTGAGATCATGACCTGAGCTGAAGGCAGCGGCTTAACCCACTGAGCCACCCAGGCGCCCCTTCAGTCTATATTTTAAGTAAAATGCAGATTTTGCTGAAGACCCATGCATTTGGTTTTCTTAAACTTGTTGTGGTGTATCCTGCTGAAATTTCAGCATTTAGCCTGGCATTGGATTCTACTTCAATCTCTGGGTGGAGAGTTGAAGCATCAGGTTTCCTCAGGAGCCAGCGCTAGGCTCTGTCTTGATCTTCATATATCAGTTTGTTGAGGAAGGTAACTTCACAGTGTAACTCATTTAAACTTTTATGAATGTACAAATCTTAAAGTAGACAAAGAGAAATGTGTAGTCCATTTCAAGAGGAATGACTCATATAAGGCATTTTCTGTGAAAGGCTTTTGATTAGTTACATCCTGGGAAACAAAAGGCATTAGGGCTCTTTCTCACACCCTGTGCACTTTATGTGGGACAAAACATTCTAACCTTTATGTCTTGGGCTGTCTGCTTTGGGACTGTTTTGATTTTGTTTTGGAAACTTCAGAAGATTCCAGAAGGGAGCCTAAACTGATTGAAAGAATTAGTACAAATTGCAGCTAGAATTCTCAAAAGAATGTGCATACTTTTTGTGAGTAACTTTTTGTGATTAAACACCTTCAGTTTACTTACTTGAGCAGCCAATGACCTCAATAGAATAGAAGCTCATCCCACATGTCTCCTTTGTCTCTGTTGCCAGGGGCCGTGTTTGGCTTTGAGTTTCCCGAATGCTGCAGCCTCATAACAGGCGCTCAGTGAGAGCCCCTGGATTGTTTTGTTTGCTTGTTTGTTTTGTTTGTTTTTTAATCTTTAAATGAAGTGGGGACACACTTTCTAATCTTTCCACTAATTAATTTCAAAGTTAAAATGAATGAGTTTTTATATTTTGAGCATCCCGGTGGATTGTTACTCAAACAAGCATTTTGGGGGTGGGGGGCTACATGTCTCAGTTGTTTGGGAGAAGGAAGAATGCCTTGCTTTAGTTTGGATCACGTTTATAAAGAAGGTGTAACTCCAAACGTAGGTAGTGGTATTTGTCAGATTTAAGAATCACTTCCGGTGATTTGTCGTTTTGGTTTGCTGCAAGCAAGACAGCGCTCACATGGGGGGTGTCTAAGCCACTAATTTCATTTTCAAAAGGAATTAGAGGAAAATAAAATAAACAGGAATAAGATATGAGATATTGAAATGTAACTGCACCAAAAATCTTTGTAATTACCGTTGTTTTATGTTGGCAGGGTTGTGTGACTGCTCTTCTGCTAAATAGCTTAGTAAGTAAGCCTTGTCAGTTCGATTCTTGCACTACCAAAACGTAGTTAACTTACACTGAACTTGACTCCTTTTAATAAACTGGAGGTACCTCCAAAACTAGATAGCATTTCTCTTTCATACTAACGCAGAATAATGTACAGTAGTGGATAAACATTTTTAATCTCATGAAAGCATATTAGTTTTCTCCTTTTTCTCTCGAAGGACTAATGATTTACCGCAGTAGTTTTTTTTTTTCAGCTTTTTGATGGCAGGGTCAAAAAAGTATACATTTCATTGATAACCTGTAGTGCGCACGGAGAAGAGACTTGCCCGCACGCTGCCGGTTCTGCCGCTCACGCGCCCTTTCCCTGTTCCGCCCACAGCGCAAGTGGACGTGCTGTCCGCCGCGCTGCGCGCTTCCAGCCTGGACGTTCGCGAGGAGGCCAGCGACGCAGAAAGGAGAAGCGATGCGCAGGACGGGCTGGGTGTGAACGAGCCGCCAAACTGTAAAATAAATCACGACGCCTCCGTGCCTTTAATCCGCGATGCTGTTGAGGTAATGCACTCAGTCACGCGTTTCTCCAGTGAGCTCCATTCCAATCCGGAGTCTTTTGTTGGGGAATAGTTGTAGCCGATCACTTTCTAATGAGGCCATTCTGTTTGTTGCGAATTTTCTCAGCTCGCTCTTTGGCATAAAGGGAAGGTAACTCACCACAGCCTGTCTTTGTGACATCAGTGTCATGTTCGGTGCTTGGAAGTGTAAATCCCAATCCTGTCTACATGACCATTGGAGTAGCCTCAATGTGTTAACGTAGCTCACTGCAGTGAAATAGTCTTACTGGAAACAAAGCCCTTTGTCAAGAATCATTAACTCTTCCCTTTTCTTTTTGGAGAGGTGCTTTGTTTCTGATGGGACCATTTCACTGCAGCAAGCAACACAGCATTCTGAGCGGAAGATCGGGACTTGAGGCCATGTTGCGGAGGGCCAGTGGCATTATCTGGACTCTGGAGTGTGAGGGTGGGTACTGTTACGAGCATCATCTTCACTGTGTACTTGGAGCTGTTCTGTGTGATCCTACCCCGATCTCCTGCCGCACCCCCGCCCCCAGCCAGCATCACGTGGGATCGGTCTATCTAACCCTTGTTGAGAGAAACGCAGGGAAGGAATAACACCACTGGTTGCCAGGATTGGTCGGTCCCAGATCAGCGCAGCCCGAGCGATGGACTCAGGGAAGAACCCCGGCATACACACCAGGGACGGAGAGGGCTCTTAGAGTGGCAGTGGGTTTCTGTTTTGCTTCTTGTTAGGTGACAGCTGGTAGAATTAGAAATCTTAAAGGATACTTGTGCTTCAGAATGAAGCCCTGGCCACCTGTCATCACTGGAGATTTGAATGCTGTGGTATTTCTGCATTTTAGAAGGTGTTTTGTTTGTTTTGGAGTTTTTTGGAGCTGGTGAAAAGTATATTTGTGAAATTAGAAATAGCCAACAGTAGAAGAACAACTACATAGGACATCCTGTGACGTATAAAGCATTGACCAGAAGCACCCTCTATGATATAATACTATCTTACAAGTAAGCTAATTTTAGATATTGGAGCCATTTCAGAATTATTTCTCAATTTACATATTTTCATGATTTTATTCTGGAATTCATTTGCATACATTTAGCAATGTATTATGCAAGTTAGACTCAAGTTGGGGGGGCAGTTCTTACGAGGTCTCAGGTATGGTTATAAGCTTTTAAAAGCTTGAAGAATTTGTATGTATTTATATCTTTGGGTAGTCGTGAAAGGTAAGTAACTTAGTAAGATGCTTTAAGTGAAGGAACTTACAGAAGGGACAGTTCTTCATGTAAATATTTTTTTCCTAACAGAATATGGAGTCAACGCTTTGCTATATTCATAATGATTCAGACTTGAGCACCAACAGTAGTTTTAGCCCCGATGAGGAGAGGAGATCCAAAGTGCAAGTAAGTGACAGCACGTCTCTCTGTGGTGAGTGCCTTGTTCATTCCTCTTCAAAACCCATATCCTACCAAATCTGGTCCTCTTTACAATGAGTTTTTTTAATTCTATTTTTATTAATGTATTATTAATTAATAAATTATTAATGATTAATAAATTATCAATAATTATTAATAATACTAGTATATAATACAGTAAGAAAACTCAAATAGAGTAGAATACAAGCAGAAGTCTTCCTCTTCTCACAGCTGTGATCACATTCTTCAGAGTAACCGCAGATCACACCTTCTTCCCTTCCTTCCTGCTTTCCTTCCTTCCTTCCTTTCTGAGGGGGAGGGACAGAGGGGGAGAGACTTTTAAGCATATTCCTCACCCAAAGCAGAGCCTGACCACGGGGCTCGATCTAATGACCCTGAGATCACAACCTGAGCCGAAATCAAGTCACACGCTTATCCAGCTGAGCCTCCCAGGCGCCCCTATTTCTTCGTAAACATTCTATGGGTACAGAAACATGAACACGGACCCCTTTTTGTCTGTCAAAGACAGAATCATGCCATCATACCTAGGTATTTCATGGTGCCTAATTTGCCAAGCATTACAAGATACAGCTCAATTTCAGAGATGAAAATATGAAAAATGTCCCAAAGCTATATAAAGCGCCATCAGTGGCGAGTTACATGCCAGTTTCATAAATTTTAAATGTGGGGAAAATATGCTTAGGGAATATTTGGAATATACTAGTTTGTACCTTGCTTCTGTGTATGTGTATACGCACGCGCGCTCACCACGCCCCCGCCCCCAACCAGTGTGTTTATTTTGTATGTTCTCCCAGAGCTGTGTTATGTGTACATTAACAAGATTGTGTGGACATTCTTCTTTTCCTAACGTTTATATGAACAGTTAGATATTTATTCACTCTTAAGTTTTATAGGTAATTGCTCAATTTCCATTGAAAGGTGGGTGGTGGTTTTATAAAATCCAGGTTGGTAATAGTGTCCCTCTTCTGTCCCATTCACGAGATGACGTCAGACTTGACCAGCCTTGCCAGTATTGAGAGGTGCTAGTCTTACTGCTGATGCAGCTTTTCAATGCAGTAATCAGTTCTAATCATCCCCTATGCTGTATTCTGTTTTAAGATCTTCCTGTTTTTCTTCTAGAGTGGCTGCTTTTATTTACATGTATATTTTCCTTAGCATGTTTTTCCTACCTCTTCTCAGTAGATCCCTGAAACTTTGAGACTGGGTTTTTCTCTGCTCGTTGAGATGCTCTGTTATTCTTCATCTATTTAAAGATAAGTTTACTCAGTTTACACCTGGCCTGCTAAAAGAAGTCTGGGCTGTGTGTGTCTCTCCATCAGGATGTTGTGCCTCAGGCTCTGTTAGATCAGTATTTATCTATGACGGACCCGTCTCGTGCACAGACAGTCGACACTGAGATCGCGAAGCACTGTGCGTACAGCCTTCCCGGCGTGGCCCTGACCCTGGGCAGGCAGAACTGGCACTGCCTGAGAGAGACCTATGAGACGCTGGCGTCAGACATGCAGGTGAGTGTGTGCAGATGTGCCCCGCAGAGCCCGGTAGGGCTTCTGTTCATGTTCCAGCAAATACTTGGTATTACAGGAAGTCACGTGCAGAAGAGCTTAAAAGTAATACCAGAGAGCTTGCTTTTTGTGTGGTCCAAGTTCTACCATTTGGAAATTATTGCATTTGACCTGCCCAAGTTCCTAACTTACAAATGTGTTACTGTCTGAAGTTTTGTGTAGATTGTTTCTATGCACAGTGTTATAAATGCTTCTTTTATTTTCTTAAAACCTTGATAGAACTGTAGTAGTTTTAGCACTGCTGAGCTCTGGGCCCTAGGTCGCTGAGCGTTGCAGTAAAGGCCGGGGAAGTTTGTGTGTGTGTGTACACGCAAGCACACATGAGCATGCTCTCCTCGAGACCTATACATTACCAACACCATCCCCTCCGAAAGAAAAGAAAATATGAAATATTGACCCTAGGTCATCTTGCCTGGATATCCGTGTGATTTTGTGGCTCTTTTCCTAGATCTTGTTGACTTAACTTCCCCTCCCGTTAGGTCTGCTTTCTTTCTGAATCATACACCAAAATTTTGCCCCTCTTCCAGAAAATCTGTTTGGTGAAATTAATCTCTTGGTTATTAAGAAAGCAGTCTGGTTAGACTAATTTATACTGAGATATGAATAATTTTCCCTTAAATGTGTTGGTAATGCATTTTTCAAGGAATTTGTGCTGTTGACTCAGCAAGGTAGCAGTTGGAAGTAATCTTGAGAGAACATAGTTTAAGTTCCTTCTCTGACCTATGAGGTTAGCCAGGGTCCGGGTGAAGTGAATTTATCCTGTTTCACACGCTTCTTCACCAGTGGAACTGGGCAGGGGACTGCAAAGGCCCACTCTGCAGAGTGCAGTACCCTCCACACTAGCGGTTTTCCATCTTCGTTCCACAGGCCTTTCACCGTTCCTGTGGGGTGTGCACCTCAGGGCCCCTGGTGACTAGGAAGGCCCCCGATGGGCAGGGCTTCATGCCTCTATCCCTTCCTCTCCCCTCCCCTCCATCAGAACATCTCTGCCTTCATCTGCTTGAATGTGGGTATGAAATTTTATTTCAAGAGTGGGGTCTAGTGTTTGGGATTGGGGATAAAACTCTCGCTGTAAATTCTCAGCAAGTAGAGTGTTCTAAGCTGAGTAGCAAAGTAAAAAATTTTAAACTAAAGCAACATGAAAAATGTTTTTAATGTAAACTTTCCTACATTTTCCCATTCTTATATTTCTTTAATTGCCAATTCCCTAAAAACAAATTTCATTGTTTTTTTTAGCCATAAGATAGACTGTACAAGAATCGGAAGGGGAACAGTCAAGCAAGGACAGTACTCACCAGCCTTTGATGGCTGTGGGACACCTGTAGTTCAGGCACCCAGTGTTCAGAGAACTACAAAGACTATGCTCTTAGTGATTTCAGACTTTTTTCCCTTTGTAAATGAAAGGAGATTAATACGTACCGTGCGGGGCTTTGAAATTTCTCTGCCGGTTTTTGAGACAGCAGGCATTTAGAGCCGAACTTCTGTTCTTAACCATTACTTCTGTTCCGATTTAATTGTGTGAGATTGGGAACATCCAGATCTGTTAGCCTTCACACACCGGCTGAGAGGTAAAGCACTCAGTACTGTGTGCATCGCTTACGAATGCGGTCATCTTTATCTCTGCAGTGGAAGGTTCGAAGAACATTAGCCTTCTCCATCCACGAGCTTGCAGTTATTCTCGGAGACCAGCTGACAGCTGCAGATCTCGTTCCGATCTTCAATGGATTTTTGAAAGACCTCGACGAAGTCAGGATAGGTGTTCTTAAACATTTGCATGATTTTCTGAAGGTAACTTTTAAATTTTTCTGCATAAAAACAGACTAAAGTTCCACTGTGGAATTTTTGGTTTTCTCTACCCACCAAGATGAAGTTTCCCTATGTGTTCTATGTAAGAAGACAGAGTCATGAGCTGATAGTGAGATGTGATTTAAAAAAAAAAAAAAAATGAGGGGCTCCTGGGTGGCTCAGTGGGTTAAGCCTCTGCCTTCAGCTCAGGTCATGATCCCAGGGTCCTGGGATCAAGCCTCACATCAGGCTCTCTGCTTGGCAGGGAGCCTGCTTCCCTCTCTCTCTCTCTCTCTGCCTGCCTCTCTGCCTACTTGTGATTTCTCTCTCTCTCTGTCAAATAAATAAAATCTTAAAAAAACCAAAGTTTTAAAATTTAAAAAAAAATGAGGTAGTCCCATTCTGATCACTTTAGCTGGTGTCCTTTTAATTTTTAATTTTATGAGACTGAAGCGCTTCCTACTGCGCTAAGGAGGCACCTTAATTTTTAATTTTAAAATCATTACACTAAACTTCATTTTTAAACACTGTGAGATCATGATTACAAGCACTTCTCAAAATTATTGAATTAAATATATGTACAAAAATTCCCTGAACATTAAGTTTGGAGGCGCTATATGATATTTTAGAAGTCCATATTTTAGGAGTCGGTATGGATCTCTGGTCTTGGAGGTAAACACCTGTGATCTTAACAACTTGTTAGTCCTGGAATTCTATTGTTCCTTACACTATAACCTTGAAGTTGGCTCTTGTAGTTTGAAGTTCGGAGAAGTAATATAATCCTACTTTCAAAAAACATTGGTACTGTGTTTGACACTGCTATTTTTCATACAGATCATACTGAAATTTCTCAGCCTGTTCCATTAATGTGCCATTAGAGCTCCCTGCCACCACCCCCAATTCAGAATCCAATCAGGAATTGCATATTGAATTTAGATATAGTCTCTTTAGCCCTCTTAACTCCAGAACAGTTTCCTGACTTGTGTCTTTAATGTCACAAGCATCTTTGAAGAGGCTGAGCCGCTTGTGTTGCAGATGGCCGTCAGTCTGCACGTGTTATGCATCGAGAGTCGGTTCCGCTGCTTTGGCGGGCAGGCACGTGACTTGTCCGCACGTCCCATGGGGGTAGGGCACGATCACTGCCTCACAGGGAACGCTGACTCTGGACAGGCGACTGTGGTGGTGTGGGCCCACTCCCTCCATTGTAAAACCACCTGTCACCTCCCTGATTAGTCATCACTTGGAGTCGGGGGGAGACCTTCAAACCCCAAACACTTTCTCCCCCGAGTCTGTCACCCAGAGCTTCAATCCGTGCATCTATACACAGGTCTCACCTCAATCAGTCGTTACTGTGCTGGTTGTAAAATGCCGATTTTCTATTTTTATAATTCCTTCTCCATTTATTAGTTGGCATTCTCATGTAAAATTCATCTTTTCCTTCTCTCCCTCCCGCTCCTTGGAATTTTTTTTTTTTAGTGTTAGGTGTGAACTCTGGAATTTTTCCTATTCAGTGTAATCCACTTCTGTCCTTGGTTCTGAACATGAGTTTGGCTGACAGGAGCCCCTGAAAGCTGCCTCCCGTACCCCTTTGATCTGTCCCCTCACGTTAAGCACATCCTTGCTTCCGGGCCCACCTTCTCCTTTCTGTGCCCCAGCCCCGAGTCCGCTGTTTCTCCAAGGAGGCTGGGTTTTCCAGTGGAGTGCGGGAGTTAGAACTGCGACCCAGGCCGATGTGCACGCTGCTCCCTGGGGGTCATTTCCTCTCCGCCTTCTCTGGGAACAGGAACCAGGAGTGGTTTTTTGGTTTGGGTTTTTTGTTTTGTTTTGTTTTGTTTTTAAATTACTGAGTTCATATTGATAAGTCCTCTTCCAGTCCCACACCATTTCCTTTCCTTTTTCACAAAAACACTTCGTGTTTTTCCTTTTCTTTCATGGTAAAAACTCTGTTCTTAACATGAACATACTCAGTCGTTCAGTCTGTTGCACAGCATACATCAGGTAGTTTCAGAATTACTCCACCGATGTTAAGTCCAACATCAAGTTAACCAAAAAAACGTCCAAGATTTCCTAAAGCACCTTGTTCTCAGAACATACCCCATGAACCTGTACGCTCAGAGTGCTTTTTTCTGCGTGATTCTTAACTGTTCGATACAAAGTTAAGTTTGTTTGCTTCTGTATATATCAAATTTTAGGGTTTTCCCCCTTAGCGACCAGAAACCTACTTTAAAATGGCTGTAGAGCAATTATTGGGATAAATTTTCTTTCACTCAGCAAATATTTGTTGAGTACCTGCCACGTGCTATCACGGTGCCAGGCACTGGGCTTACTCATGTGAGTAAGAGCGCATGACTGTCCTCACAGAGTTCACAGTAACAAGGGTGCCCTAGGAATACAGCGGGTCAGTCCTACCGTATGCCTGTGACCAAGGCACTGTAGGGTTCAGAGGAGATCATGCATGGCTCAGGGAACAAATATTTCCAAAAAAGATAAGACTCTTGAAGGTAAATGGGATTATCAGAGAAAATGACCTTAATATCCGTTTTTAAAACAATTAGATGTACCTACTACATATGTTCTCAGAAGAATTAACTATATTATAGTTGTTGTCAAGCCGTCTAGTAAAAGTAATAAATGCCTATATCTTAGCAAATATTTTTTATTTTGTCACTTCAGCTTCTTCATATTGACAAAAGAAGAGAGTATCTTTATCAGCTTCAGGAGTTTTTGGTGACAGATAATAGTAGAAATTGGCGCTTTCGAGCTGAACTGGCTGAGTAAGTTCTCACAATTTACTGGACTGTGTTTCGAAGTATTTACTTAGTTCATCTTCACCTTTTTGGGATTTGTACATCACTTTGTGTAGATACAAGTTTCTGTCTGGTGTACTATAAAACATTTCTTGAAGTGCAGGTCTTGCTAGCGGTGAATTTATTCAGGGGTTTTTTTTTTGTTTTTGTTTTTTTTTTAACCTATTTCGCCTTTTTTTTCTTACTCTGGTAAGATACACATAACCAAATTTGCCATTGGTGGAAATTTAGTATACTCATAGTGTTGTGCAACCATTACCATTGCCTAGTTCTAGAACATTCCAGCCCCCAAAAGGAATACCATGCCCTTCCACAGTCATTCCTCATCCTCTGTGCCCTCACCTTCTAGCAACTGTTAACCTACTCTCCGGATTTGCCTATTCTGAACATAAAAGTGGAATTTTATGACATGTGGCCTTTTGTGTCTGACTTCTTCACTTAGCATAATGTTTTCAAGATTCATTCATGCTGTAGCATGTGTCAGAACTTTATTTTTGTAACTGAATAATACTCTGTTGTATACCACTTCTCAAGATTCATTCATCCATCGATGCATGTTTGGTTGTTTCTACATATTTTATTGCTGTGACTGTTGCTGCTATGAACATTCATGTACAGATTTTTCTTTGAACACCTATCTTCAGTTATTTTGTGGTGGATTTGCTGGGTTATTGGATAATTCTGTTTAATTTGTTGAGGAAGCACCAAAATATTTTCTACAACAGTTGTCCCATTTTGCATTCCCACAAGCAGTGCACGAGGATTCCAGTTTCACCACATCCTCCCCAACACTTGGTGTTTTCCTTTTTTTTTTTTTTTTAACCAAATTATAGCCATCATTCTAGTGGTTGTGAAGCAGTTTTGTGGTGATCCTGATTTGCATTTCCTTAATGACTGGTGGTGGTTAACACCTTTTCATATGCTTGTTGACCATTTGTATATAATCCAGAGAAATGCCTGTGCAAGTCCGTTGCCCATTTTTTAAGTGGGTGTTTGTCTTAAATTGGGTTGAGTTGTGTTTTTCTATGTATTCTGGATTCCAGACCTCACTTGGCATTTTTAAAAGATGTCTTTGCTGGGTTTAGATTGGGACTTGATAGTCTTGGTGGTTTTTTGTTGTTGTTTTCTTCGTTCACTGAGTCCTGGCTTGCTGGGTTTCTGACTGAATGTAGGCACCTCTCTTCTGCCATTAGGGTGGAGGGTTGGGTCTGTCTAATTAGGAGCAAGCTGGGTTTGGACTTTGTTGTTGCTGTGACTGCCCTCAGTGCCCGGTAAGCTTTGCTGCTTTTCACCACGGCCTGCCGATGGCCTTTGCTGAGGGTGGGAGCTGGGGTGCCAGGGGGCCTTCTGATGTGTTAGTGTCCCACCCTCAGCTTGCAGCTGGCATGTACCCTTGGGAACTGGGGGGTCTCTTCTCCTCCCCTAGCTGGAGACTGTTGGTAAGACATGGTAGGCTCGTGCTGGGAAAGGGGAGAATCTCTGTTATTTTGGTTCAACCTCAGTATCTGGGAAGCCCTGGGTCCCTGGGCATTCTCAGAGACTTACCCTCTCCCTGTAGCATCCAGTCTCTGCTTTGAATCTGCGGTCTGTGGTGGGCAGAGGTTCCTGCCCCCCGCCCCAGCAGGAGGAGACTTGTGTAGTTATCAGTGTAGGGTCTTCGCTTAAGAAGGTTGGCTGCCCTCCTCTGTGGGAAAGAGTTCTTCTCCTCTGCCACCAGCCACAGCATGTTCGCCTGTGCCCATGGGTGGGTGGGCTTTGCTGCTGTAAGGCTCAGGCTCGGTAAAGAGAAGGGCCCCAGAGTGCACGGGGCTTTATGCCTGTCCCCCAGCATGTGTCCCTCAAATCCTGCCTGCTGAGCAGCCCCTCTCCAGTTTGCTTTCCTGACCCCAGATTTTCTCATGTGGTATACACCCCGGGGAGGCCAGCAAGAAAGTTTGCAGTGTCAGAAAATGGAGTCGATAAGTGTGCTTCTCATCTCTGAGTATTGTGTGTGTGTGTGTGTGTGTGTGTGTGTGTGTGTGTGTACATAAACAGACACATTGGTCATTGCTGTATTACATATATCCATGCTTATAATTTACTCCCTGCTGATTACGCATACAGTCTTAAACGTAAAATTTGAAAAGCAAAAATCTCATTCCTATCGGAGGTATTTTTTCAAGGGCATTGTTGTGTCTACTCAGAGTAGCCTGGTGGACACCGTCAGTCTTCATGTCTCCCCGGTTGTAAGAGGAGCAGTCTCCAGACAACCTCTTCACTTCTGTTATCCCTAGTAAACGTATCGTTCCCTTAGAAGCTGCTCAGAGCCTTGACAGATAGACATCAGGCTACCTGATACTGCTGGAACGTCTTGTCTGGAAACTGATTTGTAGATGGAAGTTTCTTAGCATTCTGAACAGTTACTGTGGAAAAATTGTGTTCATGTCCCAGTTGAATAGGGAATGCATTGCTCTGTCTCAGTTCCTGTAGACAGTTCTGCAACATTTGTTTTCCTTACGTTTGAGAGGAGGAGAGACTTCTTGAACTTGCATAGTGTTTAAATGTGTTTCTAGATACATACAGATTAGAGACAGCTACGCATGAGAGACCCGTTAATTTTCAGTCTTTGCATGTGTTCATCTTACAAATAGTATCCAGAATTACAAATTACTCAGATGATTAACCGCTTTTCATTTATTTTAAAATTTTAATTATATTTTATTTTTATAATTCATTTTTATAGACAGCTGATTTTACTTCTAGAATTATATAGTCCCAGAGATGTTTATGACTATTTACGTCCCATTGCTCTGAATCTATGTGCAGATAAAGTTTCTTCTGTTCGTTGGATTTCCTACAAGTTGGTATGTGTTACAATTTTTACAGTTTTTGAGCAGCACACTGTTCAGTAAGCTCCTAGAGCAGAAGCTATTCCTCACATCTCTGTGCTGCGTCTCGTAGGTCAGCGAGATGGTGAAGAAGCTGCACATGGCCACGCCCCCCACGTTCGGAGTGGACCTCATCAATGAGCTTGTGGAGAATTTTGGTAGATGTCCCAAGTGGTCTGGTCGGCAAGCCTTTGTCTTTGTCTGCCAGGTTCGTGAAGACTTACCCATTTGTGACCTATTTTTCTATCTGAAACTACTTTCACTCTTTGCCTCTCGACACCCTCTTTCTCACCTTTAAGGACCAGAGTTTTGCCTCTGGTTCTTCCGAGGCTCACCGGTTCCCTAGAGTCTCCTAGAGTCAGCGTCTGCCATCGCACAGCCGTCCACTAGGGGGTGCCCACGGTCCACGACACGGGCGGGTAAATGCGCGTGACTGCGTACACTCCAGGGCTCAGTGGAACCGTTAAAAAACTATCTGTGGGACTTAAAATTATGTCCTCTTAGCTTTGAGTTCCCAAGGACCTGGAATATTGGTTTAAAAAGAAGTAACTAAAATCTGGAGCACTTTAGTCGTCTCTCAGCGCTAACATTCGCCAGTATTCTGGTTTGGTGGACTACCGGGCGGATGTGAAGCTGCTGTTTGTCTTCCCCAGACCGTCATTGAGGACGACTGCCTTCCCATGGAGCAGTTCGCCGTGCATCTGATGCCGCATCTGCTGACCTTGGCGAATGACAGGGTTCCCAACGTTCGAGTGCTGCTCGCCAAGACACTAAGACAGACTCTGCTGGAGAAAGGTGGGTGGCTCGTTAGGAAAACCGAATGTGGCGGAGAGGAGGCGTGGGGACTCCACGAGGGAGAAGTATTGTATGTCCGCAGATGTAATCTGATAGATTTGTCCTCTCCCCTGAGAGGGGACACAGGTTGGAGGACAGGGACTTGTTCACCTTCCCGCCCCAGAGCATTTCTTTTATAATTGCAGACTTAGTTTGAGAGATTGGATAGTCGCTCTAAGACAGGAGGAAAAACTCTTGCCTTCGGTCGGCCCCACGTGACAGGTGTTACTGTTGTTCGAGGCCGGGAGGCATGTTTGTGTTTCCTCCTCCTCTTCATTCCTTAGGCAGAAGACAGGCGCCCCTGAGGATTTGCTTCGCTGCACATCCTAATAAGCTGCTCGAGGTTTAGCTTGTTTCATTTATTGTCCTCCCCGCAAAATGCCTAATAAATTAATGCGTGAACTCGTGAGTGCAGCACAGAAAGGTTTGCAGTAGACGTCTAAGAATATGAGTAAATGAATACTGCTTTTTTCTCCTTTAGAATTCATTTATCGTTTTAATAGCAATTATAAGGAAATGGCTAGAGAAGACTGGTTTTCACTCGTGTGTGTGATTGGTATTTGGGGCATTTTTACTGAGTAAATTAATAGCTATCCCAAGTAAAAGTTTTATTGTGTCACCTTCGCTGCCATTTGGTCTGTTCTAGAAATAATCAAGATAAATCTTCAAATTCTCTTATGTTTGGGGATGTTTTCGTATCACACAAATCAATCTGGATTACTGTTTATAATTCAACATAGCTTGTGTTTACACTTTGTGACTAAGAACTTAGTATACTTGTACCTGCTAAAACTATGAATTGTTAAACTAATTTTATATGTAATCTGCACTTTGTGTCTCCAGAATATTTCTTAACCTCTGCCAGCTGTCATCAGGAAGCCGTGGAACAGACCATCATGGCTCTTCAGATGGATCGGGACAGTGACGTCAAGTATTTTGCAAGCATCCACCCCGCCAGCACCAAAGTCTCGGACGATGCCATGAGCACAGCTTCCTCGACCTACTAGAGCGCTGGAACCTCACTGTCCTTCTGCTTCCTTGGGAACCAGGGGCTGACAAGTGCTCCACGAGAGTCATCTGGGACAGCCTTCGGGAGGAGGAGAGACCTTCCTCTCGCGCAGACTCCATTGCAGGTGCAAGTTGCCTACACTGATACCAGGGATTTTAAGAGTCAAGAGAAAGTACAGTAAACACTATTATCTTATCTTGACTATAAGGGAAAATAATTTCTCAGAGGATTATAATTGTCACCGAAGCCTTAAATCCTTCCGTCTTCCTGAACGAAACTTGAATTGGCAGAGCATTTTCTTTATGGAAGGGAGGAGATTCCCAGAGACCTGCATTGCTTTCTCCTGGTTTTCTTTAACCACAGATAGATGGAGTGGCAGCCAGAAGGTGGCTGTGAGCCAGGATGTAAAGAGACCTTCAGTATTAGCCCGCACTGTCCCCACGCAGGCAAGGACCTGTTGGTTCTGTGGCCAGCTGCCCAGCCCCGCCCTAAGTGTGAATAGTTTTTGGCGTGTGTAAATGCAAAAGGAGATGGGGAGGGGGGTTCTCCTAAGGGCTTGATGCTAACACTACAGTAGAATCTGATTTTAATTCTTAAATGCAGCATATTGCTGTGCACATTTACAGAACGTTGGCTGAGATCTGTGTCCTGATTTTCTTCATGCTGGTCATGACCTGAAGGAGTTTATTGGCACGTGTGCTGTATGTGAGGTGTTTTTAACTTGATCATGATCGGCTCTGAGGTGCAGCTTTCCTTCCCACACTGTACATACCTGTGGCCACTCTCGGGAGTGCTGCGGTCTTTAATCATGCTGTTTAAACTGTTGTGGCACAAGTTCTCTTGTCCGAATAAAATTTATTAATAAGATCTATAGAGAGAGATATATACACTTCTGATTGTTTTCTAGATGTCTGCAAAAACGCAGTTTGTGATCTGTATTAATGATTTAGTATGAAGTGGGAAAACTAGATTAAAATATTTGTCTTTTAATTAGTTCAGTAATTTCTTTGCCATCAGCACGTGCCACCCAGGGCTAGGTTCCGTTGTGGACATGCAGGGTGTGTGCCCACTGGAGCGGGTCCGGGGCGGCTGGCTGCTGTGGTATGGGAGCCCGTGGTCCGGCTGTGCCCTGAGGCACCTGCTCCACGCTCATCGCCTGCGGCACCCCTGTGAGCTCTGGTTTCCGTGACTCATGACTCGGCTGGCAGAGCTGCAGGAGCAGGACCAGGCCCCCTGAGGCTCGGGGTGCAGACTGGGGAGACTGAGGCAGCTTTCTGTAGGGACTGCTACCAAGAAGGGCTGGGTCCCTTCCTGTCTCCCGGCAACCGTGCGAAGGGAAGCCCCCTGGGCCAGAGGAAGCCACAAGGACCTGGTGGTCTGCATCTGCCCAGGGGGCCAAGGGCCCAATGGGCTACCGGGGCCTCCCCGCAGAGGCGCAGGCGCTCCCCGAGCACGTTCTGATGGCTCCCGCCACCCCCCGGGGTTCCCGGGGTTTCAACTACAGGATGTGTACTTACGTGCTGCATGTCCTTGGGGCTGCATGTCCTTGGGAGCGGGGGCCACAGCCCTCGACTTGGAGATAAAGAACTTGAATGTAGGGTCTGCTTAAAAAGTCTCCACCACTGGCGATTCCGCGCTTGCCTTGCCACCGAGCCCTGCCTCGGGTGCTGGGAGCGCCCGCCTCTACAACCGAGGGGCCCTCCGGGGCTCCCCGTGGCACTGTTCCCGGCTCCCCCCGGGGAAAGCAGACCCAGATTGCGCCGTCGCTGGTGGATGTCACAGGGAGGGGCAGGGTGGGAGTGGCGCCGCTTGGATTCTAGGCTGGGTAGTCCGCGCGGAGGGCTGGCCAGGCTGGGGCTGGTCGGGCTTCTGGAGCCCCCAGGCTGGCAGGGCCGGCAGGTGCCTGCGTGCGACAGGATTGTCGAAGGAAGAAAAGGAGGGAAACTGACGATTCAGCAGTTCTTAGACCAACTCCAGGAGCCAAAAACAGCAAACCAGTTAGGAAGCAAGCTGATTTCATAATCGGAAAATGAGTAAAATGGTAATTCAGGTATTTAATATGGGGTAGCTGATCTTAGAAGATATTCTGTGATTTGGGGACTTCTGAGTGAGGTCGACAAAGGTGAAAAGGAAAACTGTCTTTTTTCCAAAGCTAGAGCTCCTTCCCCAAGTGGTCATGGCCGGGCATTCGGCCTTCTGCCCTCCCCTCTGCCCCAGCAGCCTGCCTGGCTTGGAGTTGCGCTGTTCTAAAGGATCTTGGCTGCTCCTCGCCTTGTCTGGGACAAATCTCTTTGCCAGCTTTTGTGAGTTTTCAGTGTCCCTTTACCCAGGCCCCAGGCCACCAGACCTCCTACTTGCTTAGTGGAATGGCTGGGGGGGGCCACCTTTCGGCTGTAATCTTTGCCCTTAAGTCATGGAGGTAGTTCTGTGATGCCAGACCACGAGTTTTTCTGGAACTATCCAGCTGAATTGGTAAGTGCTGATCTCCCGACTACCACGCAGATGCCCTCAGAGCCACCCAGGCTGTTGGCGCCCCGATGGTTAGTTTGCGGGGCCGGAAGGTGGGTGCACAGTGTGTTACTGATTGTTCTCACACCTGGTCAGTCTGGGCCCCACTTTGCATCGGGGGAGTCTGTTTCCTGGCAGGCTAGAAGCTGAATTCGCTGAAAGAGGCGTGTGGGCCATCCGCCCGCTGCAGCGTCGAGAGCGTAGATGCCTGACACACCAGGCGTGGTGTACTTGGGGAGCAGTGGGGATGCTTCTTCACAGATGCATCTCCAGGGAGGCGGGACTGTGAGCGGGGGCGGCAGGGTTTGAAACGGACCTTCTATAGGAAAAAGCTCAGGCTCCGGGACACATGCAGTGATTTCCTTGTACGGTCGTATTCTGTGCAAGACTCCAGGAGACAGAAGGGATGCATGATGGGTGGAAAAGAAGGAAGCTCCCCGCAACCCGAAACCAAGCGAACGGTCTCTCCACAATGAATAATCTTGTGACTCAAACCAGAGGAAAAAAAGTTGAGTCTGGAAATAAATGTGAGTAAGCAAGACTCTGTGCTTCTGTATTCAGCCTTTCCAAACTCTCATGCTAGGTGGAGAAGGTTAGGAAGAGCGGGGCAGGTTCTTTTCCTAGAAAACTGGATAGCAAGTGTCGCACGCTGGGATCAGATTGCACCCCATGCGGCGTCGGACACTGCTCTTCTAGGTTAATTTTTTTTTTTTTTTAAGGTTTTATTTATTTGACACAGAGAGAGATCACGAGTAGGCAGAGATGGGGAGGGAAGCAGGCTCCCTGCCGAGCAGCGAGCCCGATGCGGGGCTCGATCCCAGGACCCTGAGACCACGACCTGAGCCGAAGGCAGAGGCTTAACCCACTGAGCCACCCAGGAGCCCCTGTTGTAGATTAACTTCCACCAAGTCTGATTTAAGTCAAAGTTTGCCAAAAGAAATTTGGCAAGATTTGCTATTTTGGGTTTCTAGTCAGAGATTTCATCCTAGAACTCACTCTGCCCGGCTGTCTTCAGTGTTAGTGATACCCACAGTTGTTACTAACTGGAGCCGAGGCAGCACGGGGGTCGTGTTTCTAGATGTGCCGGGAGGAAGCTGTGAGCGGTGGGTGTCTTGCCGCCTGGTCCTGTCCCTGTGAGCTGTCCTAGCCTAGAGCTCGCTGGCAGCCCAGCACTCAGTATGGAAGTTTGGGAACAGAAATACTGGAGGAGGTGAATTTGCCTGGGGAACATCACCTAGGCAGTCACTGACGGGGGGCAGCGGGGATGCGGACAGAGCCTCAGCTCCCCAGAGGCCACCCCACTGCCATCTAACTTCCGGTCTGCTGCAGCGGGGGCGCGCCCTCATGGCGGGTCCCCCCAGTCCCCGAGAAAGTTCTCCGTGGCTCCCACAGAGGAAGAACAGTGCTGTGTGGTGGGCTATGTGCTGCCTGCCACCTGACTTGTTCTGGATGGCCATTTATTCTGAGTTTTTTCTGGGGGCTTTTGCAGTTGTTTGGGCTCTTAAATACTGCTAGCAAAATGTGGCTCGTTCCGAATGCTGCCCCTCGAATGTTCACGGACATCTCAAGTCACCTGGAATCTTGTTAAAGGGCAGATTCCAATCCGGAACTCCTCTAACGCCAGTCCGGGTGACGTTTTTAAATACTAAGATCCTAGAAGAAGCAGTTTGTGTGGGATCTTACCTTTTCCAGATTAATACTCTCACTGCAATTTTGGTATCTTAACTGCAATGGCACAGTAATCAAAAAGATGAAGTGTTTAATATTTGTATTTTGTTTTCTCAGTTGCCAACCATTGCTTTAAGGCACGTGGTGGCGGCACCCACATGGTGACCGACCGTCAGGACAGGTGGCCGTGGCCACAGTGGCTGTGGTGGCAGCACCAGCCCTCCCACGGCAGACGGGAAGAGCGAGGGTCAGCCAGGTACAGGCTCCTGGGATTTGGAGTGGGGGCGGCCTGCACCCTCCAGCTGTCCAGAATGTTACGTTTGGCTCGACCATCATCTCCTATCCGAGAGCTGCCGCCTCCTGTACACAAACGCCGTGCTGCCCGCTGGGGTCCATACCGGCCTGCGCGCCCACTCGGCGAGTGTCCCCACAGTCTCCACATCAAAGGCAAAGTGCCAAACCTGGTCAATCCTCAGTCCAGCCCTCCCTCCCCAGCTCCACCTACTTGACAGCTTTCATGCCTTTTCTCCTTTCTCTCAAAGACAAGGCCAGACAGGAGTACGGTGCCACCAGCCCTCCGGGGACTCTGCCCGCCCGAGATGTCGCCCTCCACTGCGCCCGAGCTGCAGGGGCCCAGGCGCCGCAGCTGCCAGGGCCGAGTTCATACCTCCTTCCAGAGAACTTTCCCTTCCTTCCGTACTGCGGCTCCCTGCTTGGGAAGACAGCAGAGGTCGTCGAGACCATCTTACTAGCACTGAATGAGAGTCTTTGATCCCTAGGTGAGAAACCCCGAGAATTTTGGGTGCGACCTTGATCCGAAGACTACAGACATCCTCCCGAAGAGGCGGCTCTTGCTTTCTCTAAGTGCAGCTGGCATTTTCAGCGGTTTCTCGCCTTTTGTTGGGGCTGGGCTCTCCAGAGAATCTATTTTGAGCCCGGCCGAACTGGCCCAGGGTGCCCGCAGAGGCCACTTCAGTCCCTCTCAGTCTCGGGGAGGCGTGGTGACAGGAGAGGCAACAGCCAGCTGCGTGCCATGCCATGGCTTCGGTCCTCAGCCCCCTTGTTGTTAAAAACAAGACAACAGGCCCAAAATGGAGTCACTTACACTAATCCCCCTGTCACCAAACCAAGACTCAGCTTAGTTTCAGCTCTCCCGGCAGTGGATTTGAAACCAGTCCAGCCAGGAACCGCCTGACCGGCACGGGGAGGTCAGCGACCCAGGCCATCGCCTTGATGAACGCAACTCCGCAGTAACCAACCTGCTTTTTCCCAGTTCTAACTTCCCTGTCCCTGCCCCCTTCTGCCTGCGATCCTTTCATTTTGTACACCTCCTTGAACTCCTTTCTAACTGCTAGATGGGATATTGCCTGTTTCGAATCCGTCTTTGCTCAAAATTAAAATCTGTAACCTGCTCTGACCGAGACAGCTGGCAACGCGCAGGACCAGTGAGCCACGAGGCACAGGCGCCCGCCGAGCCCCTAGAGCTTTGCTGCGCGGCTGTGGCCGCTGGAGGCGGTGGGTCAGTCCTTCTTGGAGACAGCCTTGCAGCTTTTGTATCATGAGCCTTGAAACTGGATTTGAGCACGATTTTCCCAGACTGAGCCTGACTGAAAAACCAGAAGGGTCCAGATTTAACTGGGTCCAACCTGAAAACTGGATTGGGCCCAAGGTAGAAACCAGACTGGGTCTGA